CATGTGAGGATGCTAGTTTATGAGTATATCAATCAATAATGGAAATCTGGAACAGTGGCTTCATGGAACCATGCGCGAGAGGGGTTTCTTCATGCCAGTGCTTCCACACAACTATCGCTTGCTGAACCAGGATGAGATTTGCATTAATATATGGCTGTTTTCTTTTATTTTTACATTTTTTTCATGTTATGTTGAGTTCTTTCATATTGGTTAACATATGCAACTTGCATAAACGCATGGCAGCTTTACCTACCACCTTTGTCATGAGAAGATTTATTTGGAAGAGTGACCATTACTTTGTATGTTAAGTTTGTCTATGATGTCTAGTTTTCATATTTTTGGCTGCCTCCATTGGGTTCCACATATGCAAAGGTATATTATTTTAAAAAGATCAATCATTCTGGAGGTTTCGTGGGGATAGTTTGGTTTGACAATCATTCTTCAAGGATTTCAAAGATGAACTAATTCTTATGGAGGTTTCGTGGGGATAGTTTGGTTTGACAATCATTCTACAAGGATTTCAAATAAGTCCTTAATAAAAAATTTGAAATCCTTGAAGACATGATTTTAGATGAGTTACTACTTAAAGACATGATGATTATCATATGATGTTAAGGTGGGTCGAGCGTTTTTTCATAATTTTTAGATTCATAAATTGTGATCGTTGATGCTATATGACCACTATAAAATCTGCAAAAGCAACTTTCTTTACCTGATCTATTGGTCTTGCATCAATTTTAGATTTTTGAAAGCGAGAAAATTCGATATTGAGAAAGCAAAACACATGTGAGCTGAAATGCTTCAATGGAGGAAGGAGTATGGTGCTGATACTATCATAGAGGTAATAATAATTTTAATTTTCTTAAAGTAAGGAGACATTCATTATTAGTATTTATTGATAATTACCAACATCCCATTGGATTTGGAGATAATGTATGAATGTTGTCGATTTCTCCCCTACTTATAGTGAGTAGCCAAATCTAATTCGAATCTGATAGTTATCTAACATGTTAGTGTTAATAAAACATTCATCACGATAGAAGTGAGAGCTAATTTTTATCATGTGTATTTCCATACATATCTGAATGTATTTAACAAGATCTTTCTCACTTGAGAATATGACTCTATTTTCTGAACTTTCACTACAGGGAGCCCTCACTTTCTTATGGTCACAATTGGTGTGATATACTGATATTGAACAACCAATGATAAGTACATTATCAATGAATATATTGTTTTTATACCGTTTTAGTAAGAGCGATAACCATTTTCACCTGATAATTGTGATGTTATGATTTTGGATGCATATGTTTATATTCCTAATGATCATGATTCATGCATGTTTATGGTCACTCTGTAAATACTTTGCCTGAGGAGGCTTTACATGAAGCATTAATGAGGCAAGAGGAGCTAGTTGCATATATTGACCGTCAACAGAATGCTAAGTTCCAGGTTAGTGTAAATTTTGCGGATTCCTCTGTTAGTAATTGTTGCTTGTGAGCTCATGGTTACTTGTTTGCTGCTGGTTAGATGTTCGCTGCTGGTTACTTGGTTGCTTGTGAGCTCATGGTTACTTGAACAGTTGAACTGTTGCAAAATTCATTTGGGGGTGTTTGTTCGAGTATTTTTTTAAGCTAATGAATTCATTGTTTACAGGCTATAAGTGGATTTTTTGAGTTTTTCGGAGTTAGCTATGATGATTCGTCACATAGTGATATTGCCGACTACAATGGGAGGCGTTCATTAATGAGAATACAGTCTATTATTTAAATGCAATCTGCAATGTAATTTCATTATATAGGTGTTGAAAATAAAATGACCATTTTTCTGAGCCTCTATGTTAACATTTATTTTTGTATTTTATTATTTACATTGTCTCAGGTTAGTTTAGGCCCGTTTATAGCCGTTGGAGTATAAATTTGAATGGGTATGCTTACCCCAATTGAATACAATTGTATTTGTTTTTTTATGGGAGGTAAGCTCACCAAAATTCTTATTGTTGACCTTCTTGTTTTGATGATGTTTAACAAACAATTTACTTCTAATGTTGTTTGTCTAGTGTTTGTGTTTTCGTATTTATTCTAGGCAAACAACGAGTTGGAGGTTGGATGAATTGTGCTACAACGATCATATCCAATGGAGGTAGGCGGAATTGTGGAGTGAAGCCTACGCAATTCAAAGTTAAAGATCAAGTTCAAGCTTCATCCGCAAGTGTACCAAGTCGAGCTTATTGAAAATCAAAATCTAGCTTGGGTAACTTAGTTTAGGTTTTATATTATGTGTGTTAAGTACCTTAAGCTCAATATCATATACACACACGTATTTGGTTTCTATGTATATATATAGTTATATATATACATGCATGGTTTTGGGTTTTCATGTTTACAAATATGAAATTACATATTTCATATTTATAATTGTGATTTGGTTTAACTACTTAGATATGAAACAAATATATTTTCATATACATACTCATATGTTTTATTTTCTATTGTATTTGTAAAAATATTGTATTCTTAATTTTTGGACTTAACAATAATCATATACATATTTTATTAAGTCTACATAATCATTGTGCAAAGTTTCAAAACATGGTTTAGCCAAAATGTTAAAATTCACATGTTTACATTTTTATGTTGTGGCCTATTTTGTAAAATAATGATATTTTTCATTTGAAAAGTCCTTTTTGAAAACCAGTCGTTGTAGCATGTTTATTATCATGTCTACAATCATTCCCCAAAGTTTTATATTTTTGAAATTTATTTGATATTTTTAAACAGTGTTTTAAAATCAGAAAACTGTTCAAAACTGTATAATTTCATATATCAGTTCATGGTCGATCGCCACGGTCGACCGCGCCTGAGTTCTTTCGTCAGTGGGCAGCAGAGACTTTCACGGTCGACCGCCCCGGTCGACCGTGAGCTCGAGTTTTCCCACGGTCGACCGCCGAAGTCTCTGGAGCATTTTTCTGTTATTTTTGTTGCTCGCGATCGACCGTCGCGGTCGACCGTCGTTTATCCCAACGGCTCTTTTGGTACAGAATCAAATTTTTGATTCTTGGGCTGTTTGGTCTTTTCCTTTGGGGTTTTTGCTGTTGCTTCCTCTTCCTATATAAACCCTCAAACCCTCTTCTATCTCAGTAACATATGAGAGTGTTTTAAACAAGTTTTAAACAAGGGTTTAAGTGTGTTTAGTGTCTGTTTTGTTTGTGAAGAAGTTTTCTCAAGTGAAGGAGATCATCTTATTGTTTGGGCTTCAATCTTCATCTCTCCATTTTGTTATTCAGAGAAGAATCTCTAAACTCATATCTAGCTATTTATACGTTTGATTTACATTTCCATAAGCTAGTATTTGTATTGAGTTTAGATTTAATTTTATTTTCTCATTACTTACACACACAACCATTGAGCTTATTGTATTTACATACATTATATAATTAGGTTGTGGGGAGTTGTAACAATTGAGAGTGAGCTACATTGAGTTCTCATCTATTGAGGAGAACATACTTGTTATTACATTGTGAGTGTTGTAAGGTTTTCGGTGAGCTAGAAAACCGAGTGTGTAGTGAAGTTTTCGGTGAACTAGAAAACCGAATGTGAGGAGTGAACGTTGATCGGTGAGCGTTGAAAACCGACATTATGAAGTGATTGTGAATGTTGATCGGTGAACGTTGAAAACCGATATTGTGAGGTGTAAACGTTATTCGGATGAGCGTAGAAAACCCGGTTGTGATAGTGGATTTCTCCCCGGGAGTGGGGAGCGGAGATGTAGGACGGAAGGTCCGAACTCCGTGATCATTTGCTTGTGTTTGCATTGTCTTTGGCGTACTTAATTCTTGTGTTCATATCTTATATCGCCATTGTTTTTTTGCTTATTTATATTGTCCTCTATATTGTTTCACCCTTGTGTTAGTTTATATATCCTCGCATATATTTCACTATATATCTCATTGCTAGGATATTGCTCTTTGTTCATATTGCTTATTCTTGTTTGTAACATATTGTATATCTATCTTGCAAGAATAATTTATTAATTAGTTTTAATTGGCATAAAATCGGATTAGATTAGCATAAGACCCTAATCACCCCCCTCTAGGGTCTAACACTTATATTCATCATTTATTATTTTGGTAATCCTAAAACTTATTTGCTACAACTATGAATTTCAAATTCCGAAATTTGTAATGCTACAATTTGAGTTTGAAACAAACAAAATATTATAAATTATAGTATTCCAAATCCTAAAATATTGTTGAAACAAACAAAGTTTTAGGAATGCTAACTCATAACAAATCACCTATGGGTTTCAAATCCCATGGTGAAAATTCATATTCTAAAATTATAGGATTTGAGACAAACACCCCCTAAATGTGCACCAATGGAATATTAGCTATTGGATCCATGCATGAATCCCCATTTAATGCCACAAACCTAGGTCCACTTATACTCTCCGAGATGAGTGAGGAAGGAGAGAAGAAGGATGGACCCTTTGTACCTTTCTAGAGAATCTAGTTTTCCATTTAAAAAAAAACAAGCCCATGTATCTTTGGAAATTAAGAAAAGGGTGGATTTCCCTTTTATTTTATTTCTTAACAATCTATGCTTGAAAAGGAGAACGCATCGCTGTCTTTTCAAATTCACGTTCCTCCATCCAGACAACCTCTCAGCTACTTAATCTCATTGTTACTCTTCTGTTCATCTTCTCAAGTTCGTATTAAGTCAATAGCATAAACCAACATGGAAACGAAAACATTGGTCAAGAAGAGAATAATACAATTAGCCCCTAATAAAAATTCCAAACGCAAAATGCTAAGAGATGCAACCATCAAATCTCAAGATACCCCAAGGCGCATTACGAAATTTGGTTGTTCAAATTCTGTGGCATTTCAGTTTACCCAAAATCCAAAATCAAGGTATTTCAATTTAGGGTTTTAAATAAATGAAAATGATAATTAAGGGCAAAAAAAAAAAAGATTGTACGAACGGAGTTCTTGCAAGTACCTGAGGGACGGTCGGAGGAGGAGGGGTTGGAGCAGAGAGGGAGAAGGAGAGGTGCCGGAGTTGTGGGGCCCGTTTGACCATGGCGACGGAGGAAAGGGAAAAAGGTGAAAGAGGGAAGGGAGGAGATCAGAACCGCAGCGGTTACTCCGCCGGATTTATTGGCGGGAACCGTTTCCCACACCACGTGCGTTCGTGACAGAATCGACATGCGCTTCCGCGGATCATATGCGTCGCTTTACTCTTTGCCTGCCTTGCACACAAATACCCTCACTGGTAAAGGGATGCGCTTAAATGTTAAAATTTTCTGAAAAGTTGCATTTTGTATTTTGTATTCGTAGAACATTGCAACCATGTTATCATTTGGAAAATTTGTTCAAGGCCCCGAAAATTAAAATTTGATGTGGCCCTGCCACCCTGATTTATTTTCATTGTGTGTTGTCCCCAGAATTATATTCTACTCAGGTTCTTCATTTCATTTTACCTCTTTGTTATTCTACACCCACTAAAAAGTCTCATCATCTCTCCATTCTCTTGCTCCTTAATCATCATCCCTACCTCTGGCGCTGCCGTCGCCATTACACCCCCTCTCCTCCCTCCTCTCATCTGCTCTCCCAACCTTAACCTTAATTCTAACCTTCACGACGGCTCCCATTTCCTCTACTCGTCCTCTCTCTTGACCCTAACTTTCACGCTCCTCCCTCCTTCCTCTCCTCCTACTCTCTATCCTGTTAGTTAAATATTAATTTAACTTATTAGCATGCAAATAAATCTGAAAATAAAATAAACAGAAAATCTGGCCTAATACGGGAAGTAGTCGCGCAAACACTGTCCTAAAAGATTGAGGACCCTCCTATCGCCCTGGCGCAGTCGATCCCCTCTCCCCTAGCATAAAAGCCCCCGGAAATAGCCGGCCTCTGTACTCGGGCGAGAGTATAGAGCTTCTTTCTCAAATGAAGTGGATTGCCCAAAAAATTTTAAACAACAGTAGTAAGTAACAGGAGAGTTTTTGAGAGGAGGAAGAGTATTATAGAGAGGATTTTCTTTTCCGCTGTGTGTCTTCCGAACTGAGATGACCTTTGCATTTATAGGGTTTTAGAACCCAAATCTGTTGAAACTCTCCGCCACGTTCGCCCACGTTCTCCAAAACGTGCAGAACGTGTTGGCCTGCTGCTAATTGTTGAGAAAAAAAAAGAGTAAAATAAAATTTCAAAAATTCAAAACGTGGCAAGTGGGCGTGCACGGCGAGGCGTGGCGAGGTGGGGGAGCGCGCGCGCGTGTGATATGCAAAGCCCAAACAAATTGAAAGTCCAAAACACCCCCCTCTTAGGGACCCTAAAAGCCCAATGAGAGGAGAACCAATTTAAACACCCACTCATTCATTACACTAGGCAATGTGGGACTATTGTTTGAAGGCAAATTGCATTTTCCTCACAACATAGCCAACAGTCCCCTCCCAAAAGGCAATTTTTGACTGGAATCAAAATTAAATAAATCAATAAATTACAAAACAAATATAGATTGGGCAACCTTTCGTATCGTGAATTCGGAAGAGGTAGCTTTCGACTTTAAACCTTTCCTTAGTGGGTTCATCTCAACCTGAGGGACATAATGGACTAGGCCTTAAATTAGGCTCATTGTACCACGTATTGATGAAATCACACACAATACGTCTTTATCTATTGAGTAAAGCGGGTTGAGCATTAAAGACCATGCTCACAATAATCGACTCATAAGAGTTTCTAGGGGTTAACCCTGCACCCTCCCCCAACCACGGCCATTATGGTTCTTCTCACGTAGGTAAGTCCTTCAAGGGTACTACAGTTGGATATCATATCCTCCATAATACATGTGTTAGACTTTTTAAGAGTAAAACTCAACCTAACCAGCTGTATCATAAGAGTATCGTCATCATAGAGAAGGGATAGTAGCAGATGCTACCATAATGATATATGAATATATCTAGGTCGATGCTCCATACGAGTGTCACTAGTCCAGCTTGTTTCTATCACATTGAACCTACATTGGGACTACGTCTCCAAATAAAGGTTGGGTTCCTGCTGTTAGTGATCTCATCTATGGGCTTAACCTCATTTCCCTCAATGAATCCAAAACCACACTCCTAGATAGACCATTAGTCAATGAGTCAGCAAGATTCTTTTCAAACTTTACAAAGTCTAGAGTCATAATTTTTCCTAGCAGACATTGTACAGATTTATATCTTATTTGAGTATGTATGTTAAGTTTTTATTAACATGCATTTGCTTTAGAAGCTCTATGGTGGATCTAGAATCAGAGTGAATAGAAATTAGAGGAGAGAGTTTAGGGACCAAAGGCAGTTCAGAGAGTAGATCTTTTAACCATTATGCTTCTGTGCAAGTGGTATCAAGTGCAATCAATTCAGACTCCATGGTGATCCTGGCAATTACTATTTGCTTATAGGATTTTTAAGATACAATTGAACCACCAAAAAGGAATACATATCCAGAAGTGGACTTTACACTGTTGGAATGCATGACCCAATTGGCATCACTGTACCCTTCTATTGCATCGGGGTATCCAGTGTAAATCAAGCAATAGTCAACTGTGTCTTTCAAGTATTTAAATACTCTCTCTAAGGCAATCAAGTGATCTTTGTTAGGGTTGCTAGTATATCGGCTCAGTCTCCCTACGGCATAAGCTATACCAGGTCTAGTCCAGTTGGATATTTTCAAGAGAGATCCAATCAGCTGAGAATAATTCAGCTGGGAGACAAGTTCACCTTCATTCTTCTTCAAAGATATAGAAGAGTCATTCTTTGTAAAGAGGAGAGATTTACACGTGTAAAGCTCATTCATTTGTTTCTGTTGAACGATTTAATGGAAACAACAAAGAAATTTGTTCCCAAAGTGAAAATGCTGGCGATGACAGTAGGAGCCATCAGTCCCGACGTTGAGACTATAATGTCGTAGCTGATCATCATTCAAGTCCGATTAATGGTCGAGTACGAGTTCGGCCAAGCTAAGTTCGAGGAGTATCTTTCCTCGTCTTCATCAAGGTCCTCCTCTTCCTGCAAGTACAGGAGGATCTCATCTTTGAAGAAGGTTTTTAGTCTTTCACGCCAATGAAGACTCAGGGTGATGACTCTAACCCAATAGTTGTTGAGGCTTCCCATCGCACAGAAACTCTGCTCGTAATGACTCCTCCCCAGTTAAGGAGTCATTCAACAAAAGTTTGCTAACTTTGACGAAGAGAGCTCATCAGAGATAGCGCCAGCGATGGGCTCGTCAGAGACAACGCCAGCGCCATGCTCGTCAATTTGTGAAGGCTTTGGAACAAGTAGATAGAGTTCGCTACTACGCGGACTTAGAGGCAAGGAAGCGTCAAGCAACCGAATCATTTCAGTAGCGCGTCGCTAACACTTCCTCAAAGACATCGACCGAAGAGTGGGTTCTCATCAAGATGACTTGTTTAACTAAGAAGGAGTGCATCTAGAGGTGCCACGCACGTGCCACGTATGCTCGTGCTCTTGTACAAAAGGCACAAGAATTGAAGAAGAAAAGGGTGGCCGAAGAACCACCAAAGTACCGCAAAGTTTGGATTCCAATGTCCAGAGTTGAACGAAATCAAGACCTGAAGGTAGCAGAAACTACCCTCTTTGGCCGAGACAGTTCTCACTGTCTCGCCCAAAGGACGGCTTCCACGACCACTTCTTCTCCTCCTTCAGCGTCCATTCCAGGTCCGTCTTCCATGGCCGCTTCTACTACGCCACCAGTGAAGCCTTAGGTTAGCCCTAATTTATCAAAGTTCAAAATTACAATGGCCAATCGCCTTGATCCTCTACATGAAGATC